CATCCTAGGAATATATGGTTAACATTCCAAAAGAAATATAATTCATAATATTAACTGATAAAGAAAAACCATAAAGCGACGTCATCAATATAAAGAAAGAGCCTGAAAAACTTAACACCTACTGATTAGATTAAAATCTAATTAAAATTAGATAAAATCTAAGTAGGGAGGGGAACTTCCTTAACCTGGTAAAGGACAGGTCTGAAAAACTGACACTAACATAGTACCTTGTGTGCCCCAGTTCAAGATGGTGAAGAAGGAAGATCTTGCTCACCTACTCCCAAGGACGCTGAGTCTACAGCTACATACCGAACAATTTCCTCTTAAAACAATCTAAACGCTGGCTGAGTGATGAATAGAAACGGGACAAAGAGAAGAAAACCACATTAAAGTGGATAGGAGGGACTGGGACACAATCTGGTCAGAAACCCCACTCCAGTGTGGCAACTCCCAAGTGAGAGGGAACTCAAAACGTAGAGTTTCTCCCTGTGCAGTGGAGTTCCAATCTTGCAAGAGGAACCCCAACTTTTAAGTCCTGCATGAGAGACATGAGCCCTGAATACGTGTAACTTTAACATGTATTCCTGAGACCCACTACTGACCTGAGAAATGGCTCTTTATAAAAGGCTCCTGGGCCTGCATTCACCCAGGGACCATCACAGAGGCAGTGACAGCACCCACACTTAAAGTGAAGGAGGCTCATCTACTTATGTTAAAGCACTGGCCTGATGGGCACACACCTAATTTAACACACACATCTTGGGGCTTATTGGAACTCTCTCTGGGAATGGAGATGGAAAGGCACCACCTCTGCATTCTCCCTATATGGTGCCCCAGTACACCCGTATCTCACTGAATGAAACTGTTACATGCATCTGGGGTCCCAATTTTTGCAGCTGCCACACAAGGGATGCCTCCTGATCACCCGGCTCTGCAGGTGCTCCTGGTCTCGTCGGGCTGTAATATTAGGGGTCACCCACAAAGGAGCTCAGACCATTGCTGGTGCACTAAACCATGTGGCTGCCATGGGGGGACACCGCACATCACCTGGCTCTGGTGCAGTGGGGCTTAAGCTCATGGGTCCCACAGGACTGCAGCCAGCAAAGAGTTCTTAAATAGATACCACCCCTAAGGCACAGCATGAGGCAACACACCCAGAATCTCAATCTTTCTGTGAAAGAGGCTTATTAGCTAATCAGCATGGTTGTGATGGGAGAGGCAGGCTTCTAATTAAACATACAGGTAGGCTGACTACTCTTTTCCAGAAACCTCAGGGAAGGGGCCACACACCATCTTCTCAATCTTTCTCTGTCATTCTCCAGAGCACCTGTGTCTCCCAGTGGGGAGTTTTACATGTGTCCAATGGCATTCTTCACAGAAATATAACAAACAATTCTAAAATTTGTATGAAAACACAGAAGATCTCAAGCATCCAAAGCAACCTAGAGGAAGTAAAACAAAGCCAAAGGCATACCACTTCCTTTTTTGAAACTATATTACAAAGTTACAGTAATCAAAATGGTATGATATCGGCAAAGAAACAGACACACACACAAAAAATGGAACAGAATAGAGATCCCAGAAACATATCTACACATATATAGCCAATTAATTTAAAACAAAGCAACCAAGAATATAGAAGAAGAGAAGAACAAACTCTTTAACATACAAGTGTTGGGGAAACTAGATAGCCACATGCAAAAGAATGAAAATGAACCACTATATTACACCACACACAGAAATTAACACTAAATGGATCAAAGATTTAATGTAAGAACTGAAATCATAAAACTCCTTGAAGATAGTAAGCTCCTTGACAGAATTTGGTGAAGGTTTGTTTTGATGACGCCCAAAGCCAAGGCAACAAAAACAGAAAGAGTGGAATTACATCAAACTAAAGATTTCTGCACAGCAAAGGAAAATCAGCAGCAGAATGAAAAGGCCATGTACTGAATGTGAGAACATATATATCTGATGAGGGGTTAATACCCAAAATACATAAGGAACCCGTACAACTCAATAGCAAAAAACCAAACAATCCAACTTAAAAATGGGCAGGAGACCTGAACAGGTATTTTTCCAAGATGACATAGATAACGAACAGGTACATGAAAAGGTTCTCAATATCATTAATCATCAGGAAAGCGCAAAACCAACCCACAATGAGCTATCACTTCATGCCTGTCAGAACGGCGATGATCAAAAAGACAGGGAACAAGTGCCGTGAGAACGGGAACGCTTGTGCACTGGTGCTGGGTAGAGAACTTGCTGCAGCCACTGTGGAAAACTGTATGGAAGGTCTCAAAAAACTGAAAATACAACTACGTATGATCCGGCTATTTCCACTTCTGGGTATTTATAAGAAAACTACCTCAAAAAGATACATGCGCCCCATCTTCCTTTGAGCCATTATTTACAACAGTTAAGATATGGAAAAAACCTGAGTGTCCATTGACGGATAAATGGTTAAGGAAATCACGATATACATACAGAACAGAATATTATTCAGCCAGAAAAACAAATGAAATCCTGCCACTTGTGACAGCATGGTTGGACCTCAAAGGTGTTATGCTTAGTGAAATTAGGTAATCAGAGAAGACAAATACCATATGACCTCACGTATATGTGGAATCTTAAAAACAAACAAACAAATCTCCACCAACACAAAAGCCAAGTTAATAGACACAAAGAACAGATTGGTGGTTGCCAATGGATGGGGGTGGGGGGGGGGGAGAAATGGGTAAATGGGGCATTAAATAATTGAAAGATTAAAAAACCCCTGAAGTGACTAGGGGAACAATAACAACAAAAAAGAAAGCGTAATAAAGAAAACTTTGTAAGTGGCTGAATGTTTGCCCTTCAGATTAGGAACAAGACAAAGTTGTCTTCTCTCATCATTTATACTCAGCGTACATTATACTAGAAGTCTTAATAAGTTTCATAAAGAAAAAGAAATAAAGGGGGAACCTGGGTGGCTCAGTCAGTTAAGCATCTGACTTCGGCTCAGGTCATGATCTCACGGATACTGGGTTCAAGCCCTGCGTCGGGCTCTGTGCTGACAGCGAGCTCAGAGCCTGGAGCCTGTTTCAGATTCTGTATCTCCCTCTCTCTCTGACCCTCCTCTGCTCATGGTGTCTCTCTCTCTCTCAGAAATAAATAAAATATTAAAAAAAATTTTTTTAAAAAGAAAAAGAAATAAAGAACATAAAGACTGCAAAGAAAAAAAGGAAAAAAATATTCATAGATGGCATTATTATATGCATAAAACACATTTAGGAATTTTCTAAACATACTACAAATATGAGATTAATAATGTCATAAGATATGATGTTAACACAAATAAATTACTTGTATTTTGATATTTTCCCAACAATTAGAAATTCAAATTAAAAAACCCATCACTTAAAATAATATTAAAATCATGAAAGTATGGATAAATCTGATCACATAATTGTTAAGATGAAAAGAAATACTGCAGAGGAAAATTTTAAAAGCCAAATGAAAGAAGAGCTATAGATTCAGGGCAACCCTGATCACAATCTCAGCAATGTTTTACGAGAAAGTGACAGGTGCTTCTAAAATTTATGTGGAAAAGCAAAGAACAAGTAATTATTAATACAATTTTGAAAAAAGTTATAATTAGAATATTCACCTTAACTTATGTCAAGAGTTTACACACAGGTGTGTTAATGAAAAGAGTGTGGTGTTACCATAAAGACAGAGAGCAGGTTCAATGAAACAGAATGTGTTCCAGAAATAAACATGAGTCCATATGGTCCATTTAGTTTGGACAAGCCGTCAAGGCAATTCAGCCGGGGAAGAATAAGGTCTGCAACCAAAGTGCTGCTAGAGGGACACCGAGATGCATAAAAGCAGCACAATCGTACTTAATAATATAGAAAAACCAACTGGGAAACATAAAACCTAAACATAGCAGAAAATCTCACTGACTTTTTGTTAGGCAAGGGTGTCTTAAATAGGGGGGACAAAGAGCATAAGATATAAAAGATGACAAAACGGTAAGACTCCAAGGTGAAATCTTTGGTCTTCCAAAAGACTTAAGAAAAAGGCAAGCCACAGATGTGGAGAAAAAGTTTAGAAAACATTTATCTTATAACGGTCATCTCTATTTTGTATTCTTTCAACCTAATGAGACCACCCCCCCCCAAAAAAAATGATAAAAAAAAAAAAGAAAATGAGCTGAAGGTTTGAAAAGAAAAATATGCAGAGCCAAAACGCAAAAGATATCACAAAAGATAGCCACAAAATAGCCAAAATCCACACGAAAAAATGTCCATAATCATTTTTTGCCAAGGAATTATAAAGTCCAGTAAGATATAATGTGATCCCAAATGAACTGGTTAAAATTAGTCAGACTTACGAAACCAAGTGTAGGTGAGAACGTGGATTAGCTAGAATTCTTGTATATTGCTAATGGGCCTGAAAAGAGCATAGTCACTCTTAAACCAGTTGACAGCTACTTATAAAAGTTACAAATACCTTTGCCATAATACCTAGGAAAACCACCCCTCAATCTTCACACAAGAAATGAAAACCTATGTCTGCACAACAACTTGGAACAATAGCATCAAATTTGAAATGATAGAGTGTATTCGAAAGGAAACCACTCACTAATATAAAGAATAGATTGACACCCAAAACATACGTGAATCTTAAAATAATTATCTTCAGTGAAAGAAGTGAAGGAAAAAAATTTATTCTATGATTCCATTTATAGGAGAGTCTAGAAAAGGCAAAAACAATCACAATAGAGCACAGATCAGGGGTTGAAGGGAGAATGAAGGGAAATGGCTGCAGCAAGAAACAAAACACTTTAGGGTGGTGCAAATAAGCCCTATACCATGATTTGGGTGGTGAGAATCAAGTTATATCTAGAAACCTGCTGAGTCTTACGTTTTTGTTAATTACCCTCCAAAAAAATGAATTTAAAAAAAGGAAGGAAACAGGTTTCATGTGAGAGACGCACAGGGTAAACTCACCCACTGAGACAAGGTGGCTGTAGTTCTCCAGCATCATGTCTCTGTACAGAGTCCTCTGCTTGGGATCGATTTTCTGCCATTCTTCCTGGGTGAACTCCACAGTCACGTCCTTGAATGACACGGATGCCTGTAACAACACATTTCTGTTCAGTCTGAACAGTTCAGAAGCAGGTGACATGGAAAATACCTTTTGCAACTAATTATAGTAGAGTTTAAAACAAAATGTTACAAAGGATGCCTGTCATGGCCCTAACTCTTGTCTTCCATTTTGGGGATACCACACAATGAAAAGTTGTTTTTGTGCCCTGATTCACCTGTAATTACTTATGAGTTACACACACGCATCATCTGTTAATCTGATACTTCTAACGCTTAGGTTTTTTGCTTTTTTCTTCTTTTAGATAAAGTAACTAAAAGAAGATCTTCCTGTATTTTCTCCGATACCCAAGGTTTTGTCCTGAGCCTCTTGAGGCTATATAGCACTCCCACTCAGAGTCTTCTGCTAGGGCAATGGGGAACCAATGAAGAGACCAATGTAAGCCCTGGATATATTCACACTTAACTACATAGTTATTTTAGAAAATGTGATCTAGAGGAAGAGTGGAGTATGTTTTAAGCAGTAAAACAGAAGAGATCAATTTAAGAGCAGCCCACCTGTACTGAGGCAAAGCATTGGGAACGAAGCACCGGCAATTAATTCTTGGAGAGAAAGAAAGACTAACATTTTGGTCAGCTACGCAGAGAAACAGGGTAACCAGAGGGGCAGCTACTGACGTCACATACTGAGACTGGAAAAAGAGGCTAGGTAGAGGATCACAGCAAGGCCCTTCTTGTTTATGTGGTACTCAGAACATGTGTGGACACACAGAAAAATTATCCACTGCACACCTGGTTGTATGATTTTGATGCATATGAAGTCTACAATGAAGATAAGGATTTAAGAGACATTAAGGTGGTAACTGAAATCATAAAAACAGAATTCACTGACTCAGATAGGACATATAAACTGAAGGGAGATCAGGCCCAAAACTAAATTTCAGAGAACACCAATATTTACCAGAAAAAGAATAAACCAAGAAGTCAGAGAAAAGGTTTATTACTGGTGGTAAGAGAAAATGAACAAAGTAGACTATTTGAAATTAAGAGACTGTTTCAGGCATACATGATCGCTCTAGTTCAAGATAATGGACGAAACATATGCATTTACATCCAGTCTCCTAAGCACACTCAGGTGAAATACAAAACCTACAATAAATGTACAGCAAAGGAAGACAGGGAACACCACCATTGAGACTGGGAAATGTAACTGAATTCTTGAATGTAAAGAATAGACAGGATCCTTTCAGCGACGCCATGACAGTCTATGTGGAAAACCCCAAAGACTCCACAAAGAGACTTCTAGAACTGATCCATGAATTCAGCAAAGTTGCAGGATATAAAACCAATGTACAAAAATTGGTTGCATTTCTATACACCAATAATGAAGCAGCAGAAAGAGAAATCATAGAATCAATCCCATTTAAAATTGCACCAAAACCCATAAAATGCCTAGGCATAAACCTAACCAAAGAGGTAAAAGATCTGTATGTTGAAAACTATAGAAACCTTATGAAAGAAATTGAAGACACACAAAAAACGGAAAACCATTCCATGCTCATGAATTGGAAGAACTATACTACCCAAAGCAATCTACACGTTCACACATACATACATATCCCTATCAAAATAACACCAGCATTCTTCACAGAGTTAGAACAAACACCCTAAAATCTGTATGGAACCAGAAGACACCGAATAGCCAAAACAATCCTGAAAAAACCAAACCAAACCTTGAGGCATCACACACAATCCTAGACTTCAAGCTGTATTACAAAGCTGTAATCATCAAGACAGTATGGTACTGGCACAAAAACAGACACAAAGATCAATAGTACAGACTAGAAAGCCCAGAAATGGACCCAGAATGTATGGCCAACTAATCTTTGACAAACCAGGAAAGAATATCCAGTGGAAAAAGGACGGTCTCTTTAGCAAATGGTGTTGGGAAAACTCAACACTGACATGGAAAAAAATGAACCTGGACCACTTTCTTACACCATACACAAAATAAACTCAAAACGGATGAAAGATCAAGACTTATGATAGGAAGTCATCAAAATCCTAGAGGAGAAAACAGGCAACAACATCTCTGACCTCAGCTACAGCAACTTCTTACTTACAGCAATGTCTCCAGACGCGAGGGAAACAAAAGCAAAAATGAACTATCGGGATCTCATCAAGATAAAAAGCTCCTGCACAGAGAAGGAAACAATCAGCAAAACTAAAAGTCAATGGATGGAATGGGAGAAGATATTTGCAAATGATATTATCTGATAAAGGATTAGTATCCAAAATCTATAAAGAATTTACCAAACTCAACACCCAAACAACAAATAATCCAGTAAGGAAATGGGCAGAAGACATAAATAGGCACTTTTCAAAAGAAGACATCCAGATGGCTAACAGACACATGAAAAGATGCTCAACATCACTCATCATCAGGGAAATACAAATCAAAGTCACGATGAGATACCATCTCACACCTGTCAGGATGGCTAACATTAACAACTCAGGAAACAGATAGTGGTGAGGATGGGGAGAAAGGGGAACCCTCTTGCACTGTTGATGGGAATGCAAACTGGTGCAGCCACTCTGGAAAACAGTATGGAGGTTCCTCAAAAAATTAAAAACAGAACTACCCTACGACCCAGCAATTGTACTACTAGGTATTTATCCAAGGGATACAGGTGTGCTGTTTCGAAGGGCACATGTACCTCAATGTAACGTTATAGCAGCGCTATTGACAATAGCCAAAGTATGGAAAGAGCCCAAATGTCCACTGACAGGTGGATAAAGAGGTGGTGAACACGTAAGTACATGTACATATATATACACACACACACACACACACACACACTCTCTCTCTCTCTCTCTCTCCCCCCCCCCCCCACTCTCTCTGGAATATTACTTGGCGATCAAAAAGAATGGGGGCACCTGGGTGGCTCAGTCAGTTAAGCGTCCGACTTCGGCTCAGGTCATGATCTCGTGGTTCGTGGGTTCGAGCCCCGCATTGGGCTCTGTGCTGACAGCCTGGAGCCTGCTTCGGATTCTGTGTCTCCCTCTCTCTCTGACCCTCCCCTCTCACACTGTCTCTCTGTTTCTCAGAGATCAATCAATACATTAAAAAAAATGAAATCTTGCCATTTGCAACTACATGAATGGAGCTGGAGGGTATCACGCTAAGCAAAATTAGTCAGAGAAAGACAAATATCATATGACTTCACTCATATGAGGAATAGAAGATACAAAAAACAGATGAACATAAAGGAAGGGAAGCAAAAATAATATAAAAACAGGGAGGGGGACAAAACATAAAACACTCTTAAATATGGAAGACAAACAGGGTTACTGGAGGGGGAGTGGGGGGGGGAATGGGCTGAATGGGTGAGGGGCATTAAGGAAACTACTCCTGAAATCATCGTTGCGCTATATGATAACTAACTTGGATGTAAATTAAAAAATTAATTAAAAAAAGAAAACAGCATTAAGCAAATGAAAAGATAAATATGGATTAGGAGAAGACAACCATAAGACATATTCCCAATAAAGGACTTGTATCCAGAATATCTAAATAAGTCTCAACATTTGAGAATAAGAAAAAAATAGACACAAGATTTGAGAACAGATCTGACATTTCACCACAGTAGAGGTACAGAGAGCAAATAAGCAAATGAAATGATGCATCCTTAGGCACCAGATTAAATACAGGTACAATGAAATACCTGTACATACCTAGCATAACAGCTTAAACTGAAAAACAAACCAAACAAAAATATCCACTACTTCCCCACCCAAAAGTGACAATACCAAATGCTGGGACAGATTGACAGCATCTAGAAATCTCCATGGCATGGCTACTTCAAAAACAGTTTGGCAGCATCTTATGATGTTAAACATGCACTTACTCCAAGAGCCAGGATCCTACACACTCTTAAGCATTTTCTCAAGAGAAGTGAAGGTATCTGTCCATGCAAAAAGACTAAAAAATGAACATTCACAGCAGCTTTATTCACAAGGCCAGAAGCTGGGAACACAAATGTCTGACCCGTACATGAATTAACCAACTGTGGCAGAGCCATTCAGTGGAAATGACAGACGGAACAACACGGACGTATCTCAAATGCATGATGTGCATGGAAGTGTCAGGGCCTTCCGTGCCCCACGTGATCTGTCCTCCTTTACCTATTCAGCCACACTGGCCCGATGGCCTTGCTGTTGGCAGGACACCTCTGGTACCACTATGCCTCAGGGCCCTTGCACGGCCGTTTCCCCAGCGTGATGTGTTCTTCTGCAGACGCTGGCAAGTCTTCTTTCCCCACACTTGTCACAGGCTTTCTCCAAATGTCTTCTCAGAGAAGCCTATCTGACCAACTTATTTAAAAGTAAAATTGATCCTTCACAACCCATTCCTGGTTTCATTTCTTCTAAGTCAACTATCAAATAACAAAGTCTTTTAATGATCTCCCAACACCTGAAAGTAAGCTACCCGAGGGCAGAAATCTTTGTCGCCTGTTTACGCGGTCATCACAACAGCGCACGGAGCACCTTAGGAGCTCCACAGTCAATTAGGAACAAACACTTCACATGCAGGAATACAAATATAACAACCCCTGTGGAGGGCGGCATTTACAGATTTAACAAGATGAAACTGCATTTTTTTTTTAAATTTTTTTTTTAATGTTTTATTTATTTCTAGGAGAGAGAGAGAGACAGCGTGAGCAGGGGAGGGTCAGAGAGAGAGGGAGTCACAGATTGAAACAGGCTCCAGGCTCTGAGCCGGCAGTCAGCACAGAGCCCGACGCGGGGCTCGAACCCACGAACCGCGAGATCATGACCTAAGCGAAAGTCGGACGCTTAACCGACTAAGCCACCCAGGCGCCCCAAGATGAAACTGCATTTAACCTCTGACCATTTTAGCTTATAGTTTCACCCCTACAAGCAGGTAACTGTAAACAACTCAAATGTCTTTCAATAGAAGGCTGATTAAATTACCTACAGTACTTTCACATATTAGACCACCAGGAAGCTATATAAAAAAATGAGGATGCTTCTTAAGTATCAATATGGAAAAATGTCCTCTTTATGAAAAAAACTTTAAAGCAAGACTATATGGTATGCTATAACTGTTGGTTAATAACGGAAGCGGGGAGCGTCTCGGTGAATCACCCGACTTTGGCTCAGGTCACGATCTCACGATTCGCGGGTTTGAGCCCCACTTTGGTGGTCTGTGCTGACAGCTCAAAGTCTGGAGCCTGCTTCAGATTCTGTCTCCTTCTCTTTCTGCCGCTCCCTTGCTTGTGCTCAGTCTCTTTCTCGCTCTCTCTCAAAAATAAACATTAAAAAAAAATTTTTTTTTAAAGACTGGAAGGAAATGAAAATACTGTCATATTTTAACTGTCACTTTGGAAATAAAAAATGGGAAGATGTGATAAGCTTACCGTGAAAATAGAGGACATCACGTAGATAGCAACAGAGATCAAAAAAAAAATTAAAAAAAATAAAAAACTAAAAAAAAAAGATGTTTGCTAGCAGCAGCAGGTCTCCTCAGTATGTATCTTAGAGCCATATGAATACGTTATTTGTCCAAAATTTAAAAAAAAAAATGGACAGCTGGATACACAGAAGACCAAAATGTTGAATATATTTTCCCTTAACTCACAGTATTTAGTGCACTGTCAGCATAAAATCCGAGCCCACGCTCAGACCCTGAAATCCTAATTTCACATTTGGGCCAACTAGAACATAAGTTCTGCACGTTTATGACTACAATAACATCTTAGCAAACTGTTATGGGGGTGGGGGACTCTAAACTGGTAGGAGATGCCTACTTGCATTTAACATTTAAAATCAGAATTAAAGGGCGCCTGGGTGGCTCAGTCCATTAAGTATCCGAGTGTTGGTTTCAGGTCAGGTTTACGATCTCTGCTTTGTGAGCTTGAGCCCGGCATCTGGCTCCATGCTGACAGTGCGGGGCCGGCTTGGGATTCCCTCTCTTCCTTCTTTCTCTGCCCCTTCCCCACTCACTTGCTCTCACAATAAATAAGTTTAGAAAAATCAGAATTAATGATAAACAGTATAAAACAGTGTTACAGTCAAGCCTTTATGGCTCTAAACCTAATTCGACTTTTCTGAATGTATGGTTTCCTTAGAACTTCTGAAATCCTTCATAATACAAAGTGAGGAACGAACTGAAGGCTCACCTGAGATGCGCTCATTTCCTGCACCTCCGGGGAGGCTGTGAAGCATCTGGCCTGCCTCGCAGCTTCCAAATCCGCTTCCACAGAGTCTCCGCAGCCCAGATGGGGGGGCAGGCTCCCTACCGGAAGAGGGCGGCTGGACCCTGGAAAAGAGATGGCAACGAGTGTGCAGAGCCAACCAGGGCGGTCCACAGGAGTCCCTCAGGTGTGCCGTAAGCCTGCAGGTTTCTAAAATGTTTTTCTACCAAGTTAAAAAAAAATTCAACTACTGATCAGAGTATACGAAAGGATAAAGCACGGCTCTTTCATTAAAAGGAGCACAGAAAACAGACGCAGGCTCCACCTTTATCCAGGGTCCTCGGAATATCATTTTACCCCCTGCGGTGGAGAAGCGGGCGAGCGAAGCGAACGGGGCAGGGCCGCGGGCACCTTGCTGCCCTCAGCCTGTGCGAGCTCAGCAACCCGAGACTCGGGTTTCCCGCAGCAACCACGCGCACCCGGCATCAGGCCAAACGCTTCGCAGGTGAGCTCTTGGCTTAAGTCTCAGAGAGACGCCGACAAGCGGGCAGGATCGTCCCTACCGACGTTTCCAGAAGACCCGCCTCCTTCCCAGGTTCCTTCTCCCGCCCCCGTCACCGGCGGCACACCTGGAAGCTACCTGGTCTCCGCGGCTCGCAGACTCCACGGCAGAACCCCCTCCGCGTCAGGAACGCGCTCTCCCCGCGCCCCGCTGCCCGCAGACGGCCGCCCCGGCCGGGACGCACCCCGCGCCCGCGCTCGGACCTCGGCCGCGCCTGCCCACGGCGAGCGCGCCTCCGGCTCCGGGGCCCCGCCAGCGGCCACCGGTGGCCCCCCCGCCCCCACACAAGCCCCGCTGTCCGCGCAGGTTCCCCACACACGCGGAGCCGCGCCCTCACCTCCGGGGCGCACCTTCCAGCCTGCCTCGCCGAGAAAGTTCTGGGACCCCCTCCTCGCGAGGACCCAGATGTCTAAGGGGGCGGCGGCGCTGGGAGGGCACATGCGCAGAAGAGGACCCAGAAGCCCCGTTCCCAGAGTGCTGCGCGGTGGGCCGTCCGGATTCGACTACATTTCCCATCGTCCTCTGCCCTCGCTTCTTGACTTACTCTTGAGTATTTTAGCCTTAGGGGGAAAACACTGTCTTGAAGTATTTTCTCCTTTGGGGGAAGGGGATTGTGGGTGACCATTTTGCTGCCCACGTTCTTTTAGAGCCCCCAGATGTTCTAGATGCAATGTGACCTTTGTAATCCAGTGCAGTGCTTGCCCCTGGGTTAGATCCCGACTGTGAAAACGGCAGGTACCGCAGACTATGGGAGCAATTTGAGAAATATGAACACGGACTGGGAATTAGAAATATCAAGAAGCACATGATTACCCCTGTTTGGTGTGAAAATAATGTAAGAATCCGATAGAAAATATATGAATATGTTTAAAGGCAAGAATAGTGAAGTGTTTCGGATTGAAATTACACATTTGTAAATTGGCTTTACTTCCTTAAAGCAAAATGAGACAGCATATATGGCCAAAAATATACTTTTTTAAATCAAAGAATGGGTGCTTTTTTTGCTATATTCTAATCTTCTGTGCAGAAAGGAGTACAAAGTAGAGAACAAAATTTTAAATGGGGTCTTGTTCACTAGCGTGCTTATTGAACTAAAAATGGCCAAGAGAAGTCAAAGGCCATAAAAATTTCTTTTAGGATTAGGGTTGTGAAGTGTGTATGTTACTAGAAAGTGGCAGACAGAAATCCAATAAAAGACTAACAATCTTTTAACCAAAGGGAAGAAACAAAGGGAGGGAAAGGCAAGCACACTTGCCAAAAGCAATTAATATTACTTTCCAAAATTAAAAAATTATACAAAGCAAAATAAAAATGATCAAGCAGATGTTCAGGGAGATGTAAATCATCCATTTTTCAGAAAGGGCTTTCCAGGATACACACACAGGCATACAGCAAGAAAACCTGAGAACTTTCATGTGGGAGAAACAGTGTTGCACAGCAATTGAGACCAGGAGAATATTCAATTAACCTCCTTAGGACTTGGCATCTGGAATAAAAGCCAGGCTACGTCTATAGCTCAGACATCACCAATAACTTTTACAGGGATTCAAATATGAACATTTAAAAATTTTTAATGTTTATTTTTGAGAGAGAGACAGAGCATTAGCAGGGGAGGGGCAGAGAGAGAGAGAGACACAGAATCCAAAACAGGCTCCAGGCTCTGAGCTGTCAGCACAGAGACCCACTTGGGGCTTGAACCCACAGACTATGACATCATGACCTGAGCTGCAGTCAGTCGCTTAACTGATTGAGCCACCCACATGCTCCCAAAATACGAACATTTCTAAGTTCTTCATGGAAATGCTCAATTTATAACTTCAGCTTCTTTATCAAAAAATGTTCATCCTCCAGCCTGTCTTGATGCTCAACAGCCAGAGGACCCACCAAACCCTTGTTTTTGGCCATCAAATAGTATTAAGATCTACATAGTCAGATTTGTCCGTCTTATTTTTTGGCCTTTAGACTTGTGTCATGTGTTGGACATCTGTCCCAACTTTATTTTCTTTTCAAGAAATTAACCTATTTTTGTATCTAAATCTTTGAATATCTTTAACTTATCTTGAAATAAAAATTGAAAGAGAGATGCAGATTTATCCCTCAAATTAATTATGATACAAAAGGAGACATAATTTCATTACTCAACATTTCCATATTAACATGAAATGTATTGCTTTTTACATTTGTATTACTTTTTATGACTCATTATTTACTCAGATCTTTTTATGAATTTTATGTTCTATCACCTTGGTGTGTCTATCATTGTACCATATATTACAGTGTGTGGATTACTGTAGCTTTATTATGAATTACTATTCAGAAAAACGAATCCCCTCTTGTTGACTAGTACTTTTCAGGATCCTCCTAACTGCTGTCAAATGCTAGTCATCTAAATAAATGTTTTAAGGTCCAACCTCTTAAAAACTTACGTTGAGGGTTTAATTAGCATCAAACTACATTTATGAGTTAATTTGTTAGATACAATATTTTTATGATCGCAATGACATCTTCCAATCTAAAATCAATATAATTTTCACCATTATGTTTGTTATCTTCTTTAAATCTGAATGTGGCTTGGGACACCTGGGTGGCTCAGTCGTTAAGCATCCAACTTCGGCTCAGGTCATGATCTCACCATTCAGGAGCCCGAGCCCTGTGTCGGGCTCTGTGCTGACAGCCCAGACCCCAGAGCCTGCTCCCAATTCTGTGTCTCCCTCTCTCTCTGTCCTGCCTCTGCTCACACTCTCTCTCTGTCTCTCTCTCTCTCAAAAACAAACATTTAAAAAAATTTAGAAAAGCTATTAATCCATGTCGAGATTTAATGTTTATTAGTTGTGACGTAAACATTCTCAACTAAGTTTACTATTTTCAGTTTGATTTTGATATGATTACAAATGGAACTCTTCAAATATATTCTAACATGTATACTTATTTATAATAGGAAAGCTGTTTATTTTTATACTTTAACATTATTGCAGAATTCTATAATTTCACTTGATTTTCTGTTCATTATCTTGGATTTCAGGCACATAATGACAAATTTGCCTGTTTCTTCCCCAATATTTATGATTGTCATTTTTTTCTTTTCTTCTCTTTTCTTTTCTTTTCTTCCTTTTCTTTTTGAGAAAGAGAGGGGGCACAAGTGAGTGAGGGACAGAGAGACAGAGAGAGGGAGAAGAGCGGGGCTGATCCGAAGCAGGGCTCATGTTTTACCTGAAGTGGGTTTATGTTCACCTGAATGGGACTCCCGCTCACCCGATGTGGGACTTGAACTCACGAATGTGAGATCATGACCTGAACCAAAGTCAGATGCTTGACGACGGAGCCACCCAGGTGCCCTATTTGTCAATGTTTAGTGAATTAGAAATAGTTAAGCACAGAAAAGCTGCTGGGGCTATATAAGTCATAATAGAGCTAACACACAGATCACTGATGGAAAGTGGTCAGTACACACCTTCATGCAACATATTTATTGGAAATCTACCAAGTGACACACATTCTACATGCCAGAGTAAAAGCAGGGGAATAAAATAAATAAAAGGCCCTACCTCAATGGAATTTATGATTGTAGTTGGTGAAGAGAATCTATTAATCAGGATCTGAGCAACAAGTGTTACCATTACACAGGACAACTGAGAAAATTCAATCAAGCCACTTTTGACAAAGCACAGGAAGTGTTAAAGGAAAGGAAGAGGGGATGGTAAAGTACCAACTAGTGGCAAGAGGAAGACATTGTCTCCCGCCCGGCCCCCCCCCCCGCCCCCCGGGCCTGAAGGTAGAGAGAATACTAACAGAACCTGGCAGTAAAGGCCTCCCCAACCAGAGCGATGATCTTTCGTTGAAGAGCCATAGCTCACTGATGGCTCAGCACAGAGGGGAGGCAGGAGCAAATATAATTCTCATCCATCTTCTAATCTCCTCTCCCCTGATGCACATTTCTATCTCCCCATTCTGCTCATGTTTCTAGAGTCCATCCACGTACCTTTACTCCAGATCTCCTGATCACCAACTTTCCAGCCTATTCTTTCCTAGTCCTCTATTACCATTGAGTAAGGAACCATTGACCATAAATCAGCATTAATCTAAAGTCAAGACATCCCGGGGCGCCTGGGCGGCTTAGTCGGATAAGCGTCCGACTTTCGCTTAGGTCATGATCTCGCGGTTCGTGGGTTCGAGCCCCGCGTCGGGCTCTGTGCTGACTGCCAGCTCAGAGCCTGGAGCCTGTTTCAGTCTGTGACTCCCTCTCTCTCTGACCCTCCCCTGCTCACGCTGTCTCTCTCTCTCTCTCCTAGAAATAAATAAAACATTAAAAAAAAATAAAGTCAAGACATCCCTTCTTCAACAAACACAGACAGCTAAAATACCTCCCCCAATTCTGTGCCCTGGGAGGATTTGCCCTCACCACTCCCTTCCAGGGTGACCCCTGAGTGTTGCCGTAGTGAGCAGCTTTTCACTTCTAGCTGAGGCCCCCATACTGTGCAGACACTTCTATAAACCAGTTTTTTCCCTCCTTTGTTAACTCAGTATAGTGAACTCCCTATAGGGCCATAAGAAGAGTTGACAGACAAGGAGTTGAGGAGTAGGACTAGTTATCACTAATGTAAACCATTTGCTCCTGCAGATCACTTACATCTTCTGGTCCTGTTTTGGTCAGTCTCGTATTTACAATTCATTTTACCAGAGTACTAGCACGACACACAGATTATCGCCTTCATGATGGACAATTTTGGTCACACAGTCTTCACCATCCCGTAATCAGTAACTTAGTGTGTAGCAGGGCACAGTATCAAGATAGAAGCTGCTGGTTTCAATGGAGAGTACTTAGCAGCAGCAGAAAGCATGGCTCCCTCCAGAACTCTAGGAGCCTGGACTGTATTCCTTCTGTGGATGTTACCAGAGGCTCCATCCACACTCGATCTCTGACGACACAGACTTCTATAATGCCATTGGGACTAGTGGGTCATGGGCTCACAGGACAACACAGCTTACGTCACGTTCTAGATCACCTGAAGAACTTCCTGTTGCTCCAAAAGTGTAACTTGCCTCCAGAAATTAACAATGTCCATCCAAACCTTTTGCATCATCTACGTGGTAGAGAGCAGAGATGATGCAACAAATTGTTTCACACTTTTGAGGAACTATTCGAACGTATTCCAGACTACCAAACCTCTGGAGACCTCATTTCTGTAACAGTTCTTTTAGTTTTAAATACTACTTTCCACTGGTTGTTATGATGCTTTTTGCTTAGAAATTTAATGTGCTTTTGTTTCTTGTTCACCAGTTTTCCAATTAACATAATGTCATCTATTGTAGACCAGTGAAATATGACAATAGTACAATAAGCTGTGTTTCAATAAAGTAGGAGAGTTGATACAAGCTACTCAAGACAATGACTATGCTCAATTGTCCTTTACAGAAACAAAGCAGCTTCTGGTTTTCCATA